GTAAAGCATTTATAGGACCCGTTAATCTCATCTCCAACTAAGGTGAATTAAAGGTGGCCCTTTTATGTTTTAAGTCACGCATTTCATTTGAAATTAAATGCCATAATCGTGTGTACAATGCAATATATAACCTACCAATTAATGCCTTGACTATTCAACAAAATTGTGAAACGTGTGTGAGTGAAGAAAGATAAAATGAATTGTCACTACATAAATTTTTATACTTGGTCCCTATAATTTATTTAACTAATAAAATAAGAAAAATAACCATACAATTTCTCCAATAAAACTTTAAATCCTCTTTTACCTATAAATTGGCCCTATTTGCAAAATAATGCGTACGAAAATCAAATCTTAGAAATATTTACTATACATAAATTTTCACCATCGGATCAAATCCTTAGAAAAACATTAAATTCCGTCAATCTTCATTAAAAAAAAAAAAAATTTATTTAAGACATATTGGACTATTATTGGGCTTTCCTTTCTTATCTGGGCTGAGCATAAGGTTCATCCATGGACTAGACTCATGATGCTAGATCATCACCTAAAAATATGAGCCGAATTTCATTTTATTTTTCGGGCATCTGCATATACCCTGTGATATCCTTTGCAAACCTGATGTTTTGGAAAATGTTTAGTTTTTGGGATAGGTTCAGGTCTTGAACCTGTGGGTCGAATGTGGAATGAAGGATGTTACTGTTGTACAGATAATATGGGACAGGAAATGATGACTGGACGAAAATACTCTTACTAGAAATGGACAAAACTAGAAGTAAATGATGATTTTCGTGATGAAATGTTGAATTGATGTTGCCAATGCAAAGATTGAAAGGATATAATGATTTTCGTAAACGTACAAAATGATAGGATATTTTGTGCTCATTATCATTTTCTTTTTAATTTCTATCTAATTAACAACCAACTCGGATGAAGCCATGCAAATTTTCAATGGCCCCCCAAAAATAAAAATAAAAATCCTAGATCTTTCATTAAGTTAGAACTTGTTGATTGGGTAGAGACACATTGAATTGTGTTAGTCGAAAGATGATAAACTGATAGATATGGATTCTTCAAAAACTATAACACGTATCTTATATTTTTATAGTACTATAGAACCTCGTCCTTAAATGTAAGTTTCCTTTTCAAAAACTATTGAATTTGACAATTAATTTTGTAGCTCATTGTGATTTTCAATTGTTTTAACATTTTAGATAATTTTATCGAGCACTTCACAACAATGATGGACCCAATCTGTTTTCGTGTAAGTTTACCATTCTTAAATGTTAATTGTTTTTAATGTGTCGCCTCTGTTCGATTTTATTGAAAATTAAAATTTTAGTAGAATTTTATTTAAAAAATGAAATATGGTTGAAAATTTGATAAGAATTATGGATCCAATAAAATATATAGTTAAAATTAATTGTTGACTATAACTTAAATGTCTATCAATTTTTTAATTATACCAAACAGAGATTTAACTTAAATTTCTACCAAATTTTTAATCAAACCAAGCTAAGATTTCAACACTCTAACGTTGAATGATCTATACTTTTTTTTCCCAATTAATTAAAATAATTTGATAAAGTCCTGCATCATCAAGGTTGTGTTTAATATACCGAACTAGCTCAAAATAAAGTTTAAAATAAGAGATTATCGATGCTATACACAAGACAATTTGTGGTTAAAATTAATTATTGAATATAACTTAAATGTCTATCAATTTTTTAATTATACCAAACAGAGATTTAACTTAAATTTCTACCAATTTTTTAATCAAACCAAGCTAAGATTTCAACACTCTAACGTTGAATGATCTGTACTTTTTTTTCCCAATTAATTAAAATAATTTGATAAAGTCCTGCATCATCAAGGTTGCGTTTAATATACCGAACTAGCTCAAAATAAAGTTTAAAATAAGAGATTATCGATGCTATACACAAGACAATTTGTTGTTTGATGCATGAATATGGTATTTTTTTTTTTATTGTCTCATCAATCAAATAACAAATTACAATGTGTTTGTCATATAAGACGACTAACGGTAGTTTTCATTATGAATAATATTCATACTAAATAGATAGTATTACTGTATTAGTGTTGATTAAGGCCTTATTTGAGCCTTATTATTTTCTCATTAAAATAAAAAATATGACTGTTATCCATCAAATCAAACAATTATATTTGACTTTTTATCTTTTGTATAGGCCCATAATTACTATATTTTTCATTCTTATTTTTACATTAATATGGTTCAAATGAGGGCTAAATAGTTTATTACTTTTTCTAGGTTTTTATTTAAAAGAATATTATCTGCACTTTATTTTTTTAAGCTAATTAGGTAACAAAATGCAGACTAGGAGTAGAGTTCGACGTGCAAATTGCACGGCTTGAAAAACAATTTGTCAACTTACACGGCTTGAAAAAAAGAGACGTGCAAATTTGTCAACTTGCACGGCTTGAAAAAAAGCTCATAAAAACTATTTGTCAACTTTACTTCACTATGTATTATCTATTTAATATTATTCCGTCTAATTTTATGCATAATTTTTGGTACTAACTACGCAAGATAGATTTTTTTTTTCTTCTTCTTTGCAAGCTACTCTTTCTTTACCCAGTTTTTCCAGAAGGTTTAGCTGCTCAAAGTTTAACATCATTCAAGTTTTCAGGTACTCCATGCACATAGATTTTGCGAATATATACACAACAAAGCACTTTTTACTCAATTCAGAAGGTTTACTGAAGCATTTTTTTTTGCTCGAGTCTTTGATTTGATTCAATAATCTTTTTTAACATTCTATATACGATCTGTCTGTGTTACTCGATTTAAATCTCTAAAGTTGAATTATACACTTGATGTAGGACAATCCTATATTTATAATAGGATAAAAGTTAGTTAATTTTTATTAGGATTGTCCTGCATCAACATTATTGTTGAAAAAATGTAATATTGGTGCATTGATTACCAGGTCTGGGTAAATTGACAAATTCTCTCTCCAAATATGAAGATATGTAATAATCATTAGTTATTTCGATTTTCTGTGAGTTTGTTGACTGAATTGTTCACTGGGATTTTACTGCATATAGAAATGTGGAAGCTGAAAATTGCGGATGGAGGGAACCCATGGTTGCGCAGTGTGAACGGTCATGTTGGTAGACAAATCTGGGATTATGATTCGAATGCTGGGTCTCCAGAGGAGCTGGTGAAGATCGAGAAGTTTCGTGCGCAATTTCGCAGCCAGAGACTTGAGAAAAAGCACTCCTCTGATCGTCTTATGAGATTTCAAGTTCAGTGAGGCCTTTTTTAGCTATATTATTTTATGGCTTTATTCTTTAACGTCAATCATCAAAAACCTTACTAAAGTTGTTGCAGTTTATCATGTATGCAAGTGTGTTTATTCATTTTCAAAATCCATAACCTTTTCTTGAACATAATTCAAGGGTAGTAAAGAGGTATTAAATTTCATGCCCCAATACTCCCAAAGCAGGTTATTAGTATTAAGAAACAAACCAAATGAACCAAGTGATAGAAAATTGTTTTACTGCTCAAAATCACAATGCTAAAGCTTATATTATCATATTTAGTGCATGTTATTGTGTATTAGTATCTGCTTGTGCATATTCAATTAATCAAACGAGTGGAAGTTTGATGACTCTTTGTATAAGGGGCTCACAGCATGCCAAATTGACAAAACATTATAAAAAACAGGAATAAGGAAATCGTGGTGGTGTCAGTATGGAGGATCCTATTATCGTATAGAGTGATTACTTTCATTGTTTAAGTTTGATTATTCAGAAGAAAGTCGACATTAAGATGACGTGGTGCATATGGTTAGGGCGATTTGGATAAAGCGGACAAATGCTATGCAAGTTCTATAGAATTTGTTGTTAGACCAGTTATGCTTTGTATATTTTCAGTCAATGCAGCATATTTAGGACTCTTGTGGTGAGTGACTGCAGAGTCAATATACCGGGCAATTTCGGAGGTGTTGGTGTCAATCAGGACGTGATACTTGCACAATTATATGGCACGATTGTAGAGACACTAGTGATATAGTTGTATTTTCCCTTTGTAGCTAGCGTAGATTATAGAGAATTGCTGAAGATCAGCATTGTAATAGGAAAGAATTGCCTTTGAATCTCTAGTTAAAGAGAGGAACCCGTTGTATGAAATTCATTGAATCCAATTCCAACTTTTTGTCATGGTATCAGAGTTACTCTGAATCTTGTGGAATTGAGTCTCTTGGTTTCGGGTACCAACTTTAGAGAGGTCAAGTGACCCTTTGCGATTGTCGAATGTATCGATTGGTGGTTTGTTGGTGCTGTCGGAAATTTTTGACTTGCCTTAGTGCGGTGAACGTGGAAGGAATTGATCTTCTGTTTTATCTGTGTAATTGAAGGCTGTGGTCGACCCCAACATTGCTGTCGACCTCCTCTGCCCTCGACGATTTTGCGTTGAACGGAAGCAACCGGGTTGGTGTGGTGTCGGAGCTCTGCATCGTGTGACTCTCTGGTGCGAGTCCCATTCCTCGAATTCGTAGTTGGAAAATTTCAGATTTCGGCTGCCTTCTCTGCGATTTCAGTGGTTTTCTGTGTGGAGGTTTCTAATTTCCATCGTCGACAACTGGGGTTGTGAACGTCTGTGGTGAAGGTAACAAATTAACGTGAATTGAATTGGGCCAAGATATGTTAACTGTTGGGTTAAATTGAATTCAATTGGGCCAAGAATTATATATTAACTGTTGGGATAATTAATTGGACTAAAATTATTGTCAGGCTTGTCTTGGTTGGGCCTCCAATTTTAAGTTGGGCTTGCTGCTTATTGACCTCCTACATTTAGCTTGAGTTCTATTATTAGACTTATTCTCTTACAATGGCAACTGGTAATTCTGACTCTTTTGGTGTGAAATTTATCAGAAAAAATTATTCGACATGGGAATTTCAATTTCGTTTGTTTGTTACGGAAAAAGAGTTATGGGGTCATATAGATGGAAATGACCCAGCTCCTACTGAAATTCCAAAATTGGCTCAATGGAAAATTAAAGATAATAGAGTAATGACGTGGATTTTAGAATCTGTTAATCAGCAAATTGTTCTCAACCTAAGGCCGTATAAGACTGCTAAATCTATGTGGGAGTATCTAAAGAAGGTATATAATCTGGACAACACTGCTCGACGCTTACAATTGGAATATGGCATCGCCAATTACACTCAGGGCGATATCTCCATTCAGGATTTTTTTTTTTTTTTTTTTGAAGTTTCAGAACCTATGGACAGAATTTACGGACTTGGTTTATGTTTCAGTGCCAGAAGAATCTCTCTCCGCTGTTCAAAAGGTTCACGAACAAAGCAAAAGAGATCAATTTTTAATGAAATTACGGGTTGAATTTGAGGGCACTCGTTCAAATCTGATGAATCATGATCCTTCACCTTCATTGGATGTATGCTTTGGAGAATTACTTCGTGAAGAACAATGTCTGGCCACACAAGCTACTTTTCTACAAGAAAAATTGATACCTAATGCAGTTGCTTATATAGCTCATGGGAAGGGGAATGGACGAGACATGAGGAAAATCCAGTGCTTCAGGTGCAAAGAATATGGACATATCGCAGCTCACTGTGTGAAGAAGACTTGCAACTATTGCAAGAAACTGGGGCATAGTATTAAAGAATGCCCTACTCGTCCTCAGAATTGCCAGCTTAATGCCCATCAAGCTACAGTTGGTTCTACGTCTTCCTCCACCACTCGTAATTCGTCTGTACTTACTCTGCAGATGGTCCAACAAATGATTATTTCAACTTTCTCATCCCTAGGACTTCAAGGTAACAATTCATCTTGACTTGTTGATTCTGGTGCATCTAATCATATGACTAGTTCATCCAATATTCTTCGTAATATTCGAAAATATGATGGATCATCCCAAATTGAGATTGCTAATGGTAATCCATTACAAATTCAAGCAGTCGTAGACATTAACTCTTCATTCAAAGATGTGCTTATATCTCCTAAACTTTCTACTAGTCTTATTTCAGTTGGAGAATTAGTTGATAGTAACTGTGACGTTCGATTTTCTCGTGATGGTTGTCTTGTGCAGGATCAGGTGATGGGGAAGATATTCGCGAAGGGGCCTAAAGTTGGTTGTCTATTTCCTCTGCATTTTTCTATTCCTAGCTTTATGTCTTTGTTTTGCACTACTGTAAACAATAAGAATGAAGTATGGCACAAACGTTTAGGTCATCCTAACTCGGTTGTTTTATCTCATTTGTTAAATTCTGGTGTGTTGGGAAATAAAGATTATTCCATTTCTTTTGATTGCTCAACTTGTAAATTGGGCAAAGCAAGTCTCTCTCTCATTTTCATCTTATGGTAGTCATTCTGAGCACTGTTTTGATTTGATTCACAGTGATGTCTCGGTTATCTCTCATGCTCACTATAAATACTTTGTCACATTTATTGATGATTATAGTAGGTACACTTGGATTTATTTTCTTCGATCTAAATCTGAGGTACTTTCTATCTTCCAGCAATTTTTGACCTATGTCGAGACTCAATTTTCTTCTCGCATCAAGGTCCTACGATCTGATTCTGGTGGGAAATATATATCTCATAACTTTCATGCTTTTCTTCAAACTAAAGGCATTATTTCTCAATGCTCTTGCCCCTATACACTTCAGCAAAATGGTGTTTCTGAATGAAAGAATCGTCATATGTTAGATGCAGTTCCTACATTATTGATTGAATCTTCCATTCCTTCTAAATTTTGGGTCGAAGCCTTATCCACTGTAGTTTATCTAATTAATAGATTGCCTTCTAGTGTCTTAAACTTTGACACTCCTTATTATCATCTTTATAATCAGCACCATAACTATCATGATATGCATACCTTTGGTTGCATTTGTTTTGTGTTTTTTGCCATCTCATGAGTGCCATAAACTCTTTGCTCAATCTGTTAAATGTGCTTTTATGGGATATAATATTTCACATAAAGGTTATATTTGTTTTGACCCATCTGCTCACTAATTTCGCATTTCTCGCCATGTGGTTTTCTTTGAGAATCAATCTTTCTTTTCTACTTATGTTGCATCTTTACCTAAAATTACTACTATTCCTTATTTTGATGCCTTAATTCCTACTCACAAGCACTTCAAACCTAGATTGGTGTATGAACGACAGAGGCCGCCTTCACCCCTTCTACAGCCTGATTCGTCATCTGAGTCTGTTCAAGCTATTCATTCACAAGATGATCCAGATCTAGATTCTGATACTGTCCTTCGACGATCTACTAGAGTCTCTCAACCTCCAGGTCGGTATGGTTTTTCTCGTACGTCTCTTAATGCTACTTTATCATCTTTTCCAATTCCCTCTTGTTATTCAAATGCTGTGAAATATGAATGTTGGCGTAAGGTGGTGGCAGATGAACTTCGAGCTTTTCAGGAGAATCACACATGGGATATTATTTCTTGTTTGATAAATGTTAAAGCTATTGGTTGTAAGTGGGCTTACTTAATCAAGTTACGTTCTGATGGCACCTTGGATCGCTATAAAGCACGCTTGGTTGCTCTTGGCAATAGACATGAATATGAGGTGGACTATGAGGAGACCTTTGCTCCGATTGCCAAGATGACTATGGTACGTACTATTATTTCTATTGTAGTGTCTCATGGATGGGCACTTTATCAAATGGACATTAAAAATGCATTTCTTCATGGTGATCACAAAGAGGAAATTTACATGGCACTGCCACTTGGGTTGTCTACCTCTTCTTCTTCAGATGTATGTCAATTAAAGCGATCTCTGTATGGACTAAAATAAGCTCCTCGAGCTTGGTTTGAAAAGTTCTGGTCTACCTTACTAAGTTTTTTTTTTAAGCAAAGCAAATACGACTCCTCATTATTTCTTTGCAAGTCTTTTGTTGGTATCGTTCTCCTCCTCATTTATGTTGATGACATTGTCATTACTAAGGCAGATTCAGATTTGATCACTCGTTTGCAGAAACATCTCCAGGCTTCATTTCACATGAAGGATCTTTGCCTTTTCACATATTTCTTGGGTTTAGAAGTCCATTCTAATCATTCTGGTATATTTTTAAATCATCACAAATACACACAAAACTTGATTACTTTAGCTGGCCTTCAGGACACTTCTTCTGTGGACACTCCGCTGGAAGTAAATACGAAATATCTTCGTGATGAGGGTGATCTATTGTCTGAGTCCTACTTTGTATCAACAGTTGACGAGAAGTTTAAACTATTTGATGATTACTCATCCTGACATTTCTTTCGCTGTCCAGCAAGTGAGCCAGTTCATGTAGGCTCCATGCCATCTACATTTGGCTACCGTTCGTCGTATTATTCGATACCTTCAAAGATATACTGATCGTGGGTTATTCTTCTCGAGCACTACTCCACTTTGCCTTGTTGCCTATAGTGATACAGATTGGGCCGGGTGTCCTGATACTTGACGGTCCGTTATCGGGTGGTGCATGTTTCCAAGTGATTCTTTAATTTCTTCAAAGAGTAAGAAACAAGCAAGGGTTTCTAAATCCTCTACTGAATCAGAGTATTGTGGCATGTCTGCTGCTTGTTCTAAGATTGAATGAATTCGTGAACTTCTAGCCGAGCTTGGCTTTTCTCAAAATGATCCTACTCCTCTCCATGCTGAAAATACTAGTGCTATCCAGATTGGGACGGCCTGAATCCTTGACTATTCGAGAGTCACTAAATAAAATTTAATTCTTTCATAAGAACTAAAATAAGAACATGAACTAATTTTTTTCTTCAATAAGTAAATAAATTTTGGTTTTATCATGTAACTGCGAAAAATGAAAAAAAGAAAATAATTACAACATAACAATTAAATTTGAAATTCAAAGTTGTGTTTTAAACACATCACAATTTATTAATCCTAGCCCCATTGCCATCTCTATGTTGACTGTCTCGAACCATCAGTTGCCTAAAAGGGAGAATTATCATAGAGTGAGATTTATAAAATCTCAATAAGTACGCCATGAATTATTATTATGTATAACTTAAAAAAGTATAATAATCATAATCAGTATAATAGAGACATAAGAATTTTACCGAACATAGGTGGTAAGAATTCTTATGTGTAGCGCTACTAAACTCCGGTCCCTTTAATATAATCATAATCATATGATAGCATATGGGACCCATAAAAATTTTCTTGAAATTCATAACATAACAATAATTCAAAATAAGTAGCATACTTACAGTGAAATTTTAATGAAAGAATAATAGAGACTTAATCCCTCTACAATTTCCACCTCGGCTTATGAATGTGTGTGTGTGTATATTATTTAGGCCAAAAATTATAATAATGAGTGGTAGCATGTGAATGTGAATGAGGGGTTTAAATAGGACAAGATTAGGCATGTATCTTTAAAGAAAAAATTCAAGATGGTGAAAATTATTCCTTGAAATTTGTGAAATGAGCTAGAATCTCTTCATCATTCATACATTTATGCATTCAAACTGCACATTACCTTATGTTTGGTCAATTAAACATAAATCAAGAATTTTACCTTATGTTTGGTCAATAAATCAAGCATAAATCGAGAATTTTACCTTATGTTTGGTCAATCAAGCATAAATCAAGAATTTTACCTTATATTTGGTAATCAAGATTTTTCTATGTAAGTGTTTGACCAAGAATTTAATCAAAAACATGTGGGAATGAGCAGTTATGATAAGTTTGCTACAAGGTCCTAGAAGGTGGATTAACCCTCAAAGAGTTGTGGGTACTTTGTCCGCATCTCCTCCTCTCGCTCCCACGTGGCCTCTTCAGCCGAGTGATTTTGCCATTGTACTTTCTGTAGTGGGATCATTTTGTTCCGGAGGGCTTGAAATTTCTAATTAACAACTCTTATTGGTACTTCTTTATAGCTTAAACCTTTCTGTAATTTGATAGACTGATGGTTGACCACGTGAGTTGGATTGGGGACATACTTTCTAAGCAATGACACATGGAAGACGTCATGTACAGTTGAAAGTTCAGGAGGTAATGTTAATTGATATGCGACGTTCCCAATACGTTGCAAGATCTCTAACAGGCTAATAAACCTTGGTTGCAGCTTACCCTTCTTGCTAAAACGTAGCACTCATTTCATCGTTACTCCTTTAAGGAATACCTTATCACCAACTAAAAATTTCAGACTCTTTCTCTTTCTATCAGTATAACTCTTTTGTCTATCCTGAGCATTTTTCATGCTGGAGTGAATCTTTTCAATTGCATGCACCATCTGCTTAATAATTTCTGGCCCATCCCAAAATCTTTCGCTCATCGACTTCATTCCAATGAACTGGTGATCTACACTTTCTCCCATACAATGCCTCATACGGTGCCTTGTCGATTGAAGTGTGGTAACTATTGTAGTATGCGAATTCAACTAAAGGTAAATACTTCTCCCATTGTCCCCCAAACTCGAGAATACATGTCCAAAGCATGTCCTCCAATGTTTGAATTGTCTGCTCAGATTGTCCGTCTGTTTGAGGATGAAATGCAGTACTAAACTTTATTTGAGTTCCCGGTGTAGGTTTTTCCAAAAATTCGATGTGAACCTTGGGTCTCTATCCAATACAATAGAAACAGGCACACCATGTAACCTTACTATCTCATTCACATATAGCTGTGCGAACTGGTCCATAGTAAACGTCATCCGAATTGACAAGAAATGAGCTGATTTGGTAAGTCGATCTACTATGATCCAAATAGCATTAAGACCTCCTGCTGACCTTGGAAAACCAATCACGAAGTCCATAGTCACATGCTCCCACTTCCACTCTAGGACCTCTAATGGTTCAAGTAACCCTTACGGTCGTTGGTGTTCGGTCTTCACTTGCTAACACACCAAACATTTTTGGACATACTCAGCTATATCCCTCTTCATACCTTCCCACCAAAATATTGCCTTCAAATCCTTGTACATCTTTGTGCTTCTCGGGTACACTGAATAAGGAGAGGAGTGAGCCTCCTCTAGAATCTCCCTTTTCAATTCTTTGAAATTTGGTACACACATCCGCCAATGATAATTTAATGCTTCATCTTCAGCTATGGTGAAATCTTTCCACTTTTCTAGGTGAATCTCAGACTTGATGTAATCAAAGGACTAATCACCCCTTTTGATATCCTTTAAATCTGTTATGGAGCGTGGGTCGGATAGAGAGAGTTGCTACTCAAGCGACCACACTTGGTTGAGTGATGACAACTTCGAGATTTAATCTCTCAAATTCTCTCCATAATGGTTCTTGCGTAGTCAACATGGCTAATTGACCTGTCGTTTTTCGACTAAGGCATCAGCTACCACATTCGCCTTGCCTAGGTGATAATGGATTTCACAATCATAATCCTTAACTAACTCAAGCCACCTTTTTTGTCTCATATTCAATTCCTTCTGTGTGAAGATGTACTTGAGGCTTTTATGG